GGGCCGAGCTGCTGGGCCGCCTGGCGCAGGGCTTCGGCGTGGACCACGGCCAGGTGGCCGAGCAGAGCGCCGGCGTGCTCCAGCTGCGCCAGCAGCCGCGCGAGGCGGCCGTGCTGCTGCAGGCCGAGGACCGGCTGCGCTACGCGCTCGTGCCGCGCTACCGCGGCCTCTTCCAGCACATCAGCAAGCTGGACGGCGGCGTGCGCTTCCTGGTGCGGCTGCGCGCCGACCTGCTCGAGGCGCAGGCGCTCAAGCTGCTGGAGGGGCCGCACGTCCGGGTAAGGCCCCGCTCGGGCCGGCCCTGTCCCCCCACCCCGGGCTCTTGTTGGCCCTGCCGCATGGCCCGCGCGAGCCCCGAGCAGGGTGCCGGCTACGCGCTGGGTGCCCCGCTGGCTTTGAGGGGCTGCTCGGCGCGCTCCGTGCAGCCTCGTGTGTGCATGTCGTTTACCGGGCCTCAGACAACCTCTGAACACCTGGACCAGTCCCGGGGAGTGCACTCACCAGGGTGGCGCCCAAGGTCGCCGGGGAGCGGCCGACTGCTGGCCTCCGCCCCGCGGGACTTGGCGCAGGGCCCTGAACTCCCAGCGCTTCAGTGAGGCCGTTCTGAGTTGCCCGCAGAGGGCCTCGGGCACGCAGCGCAGTGGGGTCCTGTTCACGCAGGCACATGCTTGCAGACTTAAGTCAGCCCGAGGGAGGCTGCTGACCCGCCCTCCGCTGTGGGGGAGGTGCTGGAACTGTCCCAGGAAGTTGCTGGCATTGTAACAATTAGATAAAAATTAGAGCAGTGCGTGGCTGCCCTGAGTCCCTTCCTCACCCTGGCGTGACAGTTCCCCCCTTCTCAGTCCTAGGTGGGTGATGGGTGGATGTACCCCCCCTTGTCATTATTATTCAAGGTTTATTTATTTATTTATTTGAAAGGCAGAGGGAGAGGTAGAGAGAGAAGTCTTCCATCCTCTGGTTCACTCCCCAAATGGCTGCAACAGCCAAGGCTGGAGCTTCTTCTGGGTCTCCCACGTGGGTGCGGGGCTCAAGGACTTGGGCCATCCTCCACTGCCTTACCAGGACACAGCAGAGAGCTGCATGGGAAGTGGAGCAGCCGGGTCTTGAACCAGCGCCCATGTGGGATGCCAGCACTTTAACCCGCTATGCCACAGTGCCAGCCCCTGTATCACCGACAACGGAGGAGAGAGGACCCAGGTGTGGCTGGGTGGGTCTGGGCCCCACCCAAGCCCAGGGCTCTGTGCCCTACAATTCATGTCACTTTCATGCTGTGAGTTCATGTGTCTGTCAGCCTCACCTTGGCCTTAGATGCCTAAAGATTGAGTGTAGCTACAGATGGGATCACGCTGACAGGGAACCATGGCAACAGCGGGCTTCCTGCCGGCTTGCTTGCTGGTGACACTGTGTGCTACCTAGGACCACACCCCTTTTTCCCTGAGGTTTCCAGACCGAGAGCCCCCTATTGCTGCCTGCACAGCACTCAGGCAGGCACGGTTCTTAGCGCTGAGCTGACCGAGTTGCAGGCGGAGTCTGCTCTGAGCGGCTGAGCTGCCCATCTGTGAGGACCAGAAACCCTTCCCGGGGGTGATGCAGGGGTCACCGAGACGGGGTCGTGGGTGCCCCTGCCACGAGACCAGCTCCACACACTCGTCATTCATCCTCCACCGGCCTGGAGGTCTGGGCCTGGCAGGAAGCAGGGAGGCCGTCCTGTCACGTTCCCTGAGATGTTCCCAGTGCACCCCTTGCCCTTCCCTCGTGAAGAGACTCGCGGTGGCTGCCTGTCTGGGGAGGAGCCAGGAACAGAACCATCCCAGACGTTCACAGATTCCCTTGTCTTTTGACCAAAGTTGTGCACATGCGTAAGAGAGAATCATCACGCACTGTGTGGCCTGACGCCAGCCTGACCTTGGCCGCGCACGGGGCTTGGACGGGGAGGCTGCAGTTAGCTAGTTGGCTCTGCGGCGCCTCCCTCAGGTCTCCAGGGACATCCTGGCCTTCTCGCCAGAGCGTGCAGCCGTAGCAGCGAGTCTCTTCATTCCTTTCTCCTTTGCTGCACGCGGGACATGCCAGATGCGTAGACCCCGGTCATTTAAGAGTGATTCTTTCTCTCTCCATGGGAACTGACACCTGGGGTCTGTTGTAACCCATCACCAAATTGCTTAGTGCGAACAGTCCGTTTTCTTAGAGTTTATTTTTTAGAGCCGTTTTAGGTTCGCAGCAAAATGGGGCAGAGTACAGATGAACCTAGTCCCCCTGCCCTCAGGACACATGTGCGGCTTCCCCCCCAGTAGCCTGAGGGGGCACGTGGCCGCCGCCCGGAGTGCACAGTCCACGTTGGTGCTGGGCCTGCGTGGGTTTGGTGTGCACAGTCCTTTCTCACTCTGTCTTCGACTTCTCAGGATTCTGCCCCCATGTTAAAGAGGCAGCTTGGCCAGAGCTGTGTGCTTTGGGAAGTCTGAGAAACCACCGGAAGTTCAGCGCACGGAGCTTCAGATTGGGATTCCCAGACCCCCGCGGGCTGACTCGGGTGCCGGGCGCCATCAGGGAGCAGGGCCCTGACACCCTGGTTGCCCCAGGTCTCAGCACTGTGGCTGCGGGCACTGCCCGCCTGGCCCTGCTGACCTCGGGGCTGGCTGGGTGGCATGGACGTGCAGTGACAGGAGACCTGCTGAGGCTTGGCCCCGAGCGCGGCCGTGGAGTGGATTCAGCCCCCGCGTGGCTCATCCGGCTCCTTCCTTGATGGAATTCTGTACCGTCCAGAGGCACTTTTAGAATAAATGGCAAACGAAAGGTCACAAAGACAGCTGACCCCGTGTGTTTGCCGGGACAGTGGGTAGAGGGGCGCGAGCGGGGTGCAGAGCCGCTGCTCGGTCCCATCCTTCTGTGGGCTGGAGGTGGGATTCGGACAGAGGCACTCATCTGCCCTGGCAGGTGCTCCCTGTTGGAGTGAGAGGTTCCGCCGATGGCCAGCGAGCTCACAGTGGCCTGCTTCTTGTACAGGGTCCACCCCCAGGGCTGTATCAGAGCCTTGCTAAACAGATGAGGGCGCCATTTGCCGAGACCTTGGTCTGTGCCCCAGGGATGTGATGACTGGAGATGACGGAGTCTGGGGGACTGGCATTTCCTCTGGAGTGTAGCCCCGCTGAGGCCCAAGGCAGGTGGCCGGGCCGGGCTTTGTGTGCCCTTGGGCGTTTTACATCAGATAAGGGGTGTGTGTGTGTGTGTGTGTGTGTGTGTGTGTGTGTTTCCTCTCCCTTGGGAATAAGTTTAGAGTCCGCATCAGCTGCCCTTGCTTGGAAGATAAGATGTGAGGGCCAGATATGTGCGTGTCTTTCTGATGTGAGGTCAGGCTCTATCTTCCTTGGGGTCTCCCCTCCCCGTACACTCATCTGCTGGGGGTCCTCGACCTCCTTGGGTTACACAGGAACTGATCTTCGTGGGTTCATTCCAGGAGAGGCATGTTAGCGTTGATGGTTGAGGACGTGGCAGACAAGGTATGTGTCAGTATGCATGCCTTCTGTGGCCCAAAACCTTCCATGTTAACCTGTAAAAAGAGGACGATAAGTGAATTATTCAGTGTGCAAAGTGGTGAAAATCCCTACAGCTCACTCGCACCAGGAAAACAGGTGTGCTTCTGGCTGGAGGATAACAAGTGTTCTTCTTTATGTAGGTGCTTTTTTCTTTTAAGTTTGGAAGCTCATGCTGTGCTCAAATTGGGCCCTTTTGGTGGGAGTCAGTCTGGTTCGCATGGTCCTGCGTGGGGAGGGCATGCAGTGGGCTCAGAGGCACCTGTCGGTTGCCCTTGGTGATTCCCAGAGGTGCCCAGAGAGGACTGTGCCCTGCAGCCGGAGTGAGCCCTGCCGGGGGCCTGCCCCGGGGCTCTGGGCTGCAGTGGGCTGCCCCGGGGGAAGTGCGGGTGTGGGTGTGACTTCTAGGCTTTCTGGTGTTCTCCAGCAGTGCAGCCGAGTGTGGGCCCTGGAGGTGAGCGGGCCTGTGCCCCGAGAGGTTCCTTCATGGCCGTGAAATGAGAGGTGTGCTGGCCTCTGCGGCAGCGCAGGGCCTGGAGGAGGGAAAAGCTCGGACCAAGCCGTGCGAGACGCTGGTGGGCAGCCCCTTCGGAGGGCTTCTGTGCTTAGCTTTGCGGAACAGGAGTCTGTGCTTAGATAGGGAAGAGTGCCCGGCGAGTGGCAGCTTGGGAGAGACCGACCCCCGGTGCCTTCACCTCTGTGTGTTACCCCCACCCCGGCGTTCAGCCCCTCCCCCAGCCCCGGGCTTCTGAGCAGGGGAGAGTCACCTTTGTGCACACCCCGAAAGTAGGCAGTGGTGACGCCTACTGCTCCTGAAGAGAGGCCGAGACAGGTTTTGTGTCTGCTAAAATGAAAGGTTTGGGGGTCTTCTACCCAGTGTCATCCGAGACATGGCTGGAATCGGCCATTTGAGTGAACCGAGAGCCGGCGCAGACCCTGGCACCCCCGGCACATCCCTGCAGGTGCGCCGTTCAGTCTGGCGCTGGTGGGCCATTGCTGAGGCCATGAGCATAAAGTGGATTTCTCTCCTGGTCGACGCTCGGTAACCTTGCTGCACGCGGTGCTCCCTCCCTGGGCGGTGCTCCCTCCCTGGCTGGTGCTTGGCAACCTTGCCGCACCCGGTGCTCCCTCCCTGGGCGGCGCTCGGTAACCTTGCTGCACCCGGTGCTCCCTCCCTGGGCGGTGCTCCCTCCCTGGCTGGTGCTTGGCAACCTTGCCACATGCGGTGCTCCCTCCCTGGCCGGCACTCGGTAACCTTGCCGCACCCGGTGCTCCCTCCCTGGCGGTGCTCCCTCCCTGGCCGGCGCTCGGTAACCTTGCTGCACCCGGTGCTCCCTTCCAGCCCCAGCAGCTGTCGTCAGAGTTAGAACTCAGCCAGGGAGACTTCTAACCTTTACCCCAGATTCCCAGGTCTCCGCACCGGCATCACATTCTTTAGCTGTCAGTAGCCCAGAATAGAACAGAGACCGTTAGAGGGGAAACTCTGATTAGCCAAACCATTCGTTCATAATTAGTGCTGACTTTGCCAGCTTCTTACTGAGCCCAGAACTCAGCCACGCGCCACGAACCGTTCTGAGTACGCGTCAGAGGGTCTGTGAGCCCAGGAAGCCGTGAGCAAGGTCTTGTTGCTGTGTTTGGACTTCCCAGGGAGGGGTCTGGTGGCAGAGCGCGGTGAGCGCAGGCAGGCCAGCAGGTGCTGCCAGGCCAGAGGCCGCGCGTGGGGCAGAGCCGTCTCTGTGCCTGGCAAAGAGACCTCGCACCGTGCGTTCCCGCTGCTTCCTCATCGCCGGCATCACCGGCGTCGCCGTGTGCCTCTTCCATTTGCCATCTCTGACCGTGAGCGCCTTGTCTGCCCCTGCAGAGTGTGTGGCCACGTAAAGGGGCCTGGATGGCAGGTCCAGAGTTTAAAGGGACCGCGCGACCACATGCAGTCACCTCGCTAGAACTCGCGTGTTCAGAGCAGCCCCTGGCTGTGGCCCCGGTGCTCGGTCGCTTCCAGGGGCGGGAGTCTGCGTCCCCCAGGGTGCCGTCTGTGGACAGCCCCGGCTGTCCAGCCACAGCATGGACTTCGGTCCAGCTGTCCCTGACTCCCGCCAGGTGGCCCCAGAGCAGCGGCCCCTTCCGTGCCCTGCTAGAGTTGTGAAGGTAGACCTCAGTGCCCTGAACACCTGCCTGAGCCGCAGCCTCTCCTGCAGCCTGGCCCCGGGCAGCAGTTCTGAGTCCCTTACGTCCCACCAGGAGTTAAAGTGGGAAATGGCCCTGTGCGGTCCCCACAGCTGTGCTGACACTGGTCCCCCAGGAGTCCAGTCCTGCAGTCCCCACAGCTGTGCTGACACTGGTCTCCGTAGGAGTCCAGTCCTACAGTCCCCACAGCTGTGCTGACACTGGTCCCCGCAGGAGTTCAGTCCTGCAGTCCCCACAGCTGTGCTGACACTGGTCTCCGTAGGAGTCCAGTCCTGGATCCCCACAGCTGTGCTGACACTGGTCCCTGCAGGAGTCCAGTCGTGTTCTCTGTGACCCTCCTGCAAAGTCCATTCTGTGCAGTCGCTGAGAGACGCTGTTCCGCGTGTCTGTTGGTGTGTGCTTGTCTGTGGGTGGGAGACCCAGATCATGGAGGTGTGAGCCCTGGGGATGTTTGGTCCTCATGTCAGTCTGGGCACACTGTGCTCTGGGGTCCTCTCGGCGAGGGTCTCAGACTCCGCCCTGAACAACCTTCGTCTCCAGCGTCACCTCATGGCCCCGTTGGCTGCCCTGACACTGCCATCACATCGCCTTGCATCCTGCGGGGCAAAGGGCACGCCCCCACCATCTTCTGAGGCTCCCGGGAGTGCTGCGGGGACAGGTGCTTATACCTCATTGGCCAGCTGTCAGTCACATGACTGCCCCCAGCCACAGTGCAGCCTCGATTCCGGGCATGGACTGCCCCAGTAAAGAAATGAGCCTTCTGCTAATCTGGAAGGAATGAGCCGTGTCTGCCGCCCTGGGCAAGCTCTGCCCGGGCCGTGGGCAGTGCTGCCGGCCGCAGGGTGGCGGTTCCACCCTGCCGCGCGTTCTGTGCCTTCCCGAGGGCTTTCCCGGCAAATGCATATTGGATGGTAAAATCAACTCAGCTCGCGTTTGGAAGCAGATAAGAGAAGCAAGCGAGGCAAAATTAATGTAGTTCTAGCAAATCTGAAATGTTTTGATTGCCAGTCGCTGGTATTTGTGTCCCACGAGGCAGACACGAACGCTGCCTGGGAACTGTGGCTCCTCTCCGTCTGAGACGCGTCTCAGGGTGCGGAGCGGAGCGCTGGGCCGCACTTGTTCTCCCTAGGGAGCGGAGGGCTGAGGGTTTGGCCCAGGAGCCTGAGGGCCCGAGTGCCGTGTGGTTGCTCGTGCTTCTCTGTGGCGTCTTGGACAGGCGCGTGGATTCTGCGTGTTCAGCTGCGTTCCCAGGCCGAGTGAAATGGAACTCACTTGATCGGGCCACCCGGTTCACGTGGAATATTCCTGTTCCGGTATCTGGTAGACCGGGTTTGAGCCCAGATAAACAGTGGAGTGGAAGCCTGACTTGCTTTGAGCTGAGGTCCAGCAGAGGTGTCTTAGAAGGAGCTGTTCCGAGAAGCTCCTCGGCCGGCTCTGACTCGCGGAGCCGGTGCCCCCCACCCCCACCCCGGAGGCCGTGACCTTGCCTTGGAGGCCTCCACTCTGTCTCCTCCCCCGCAGGAAATGAACGGAGTGCTCAAAGGCATGCTCTCGGAGTGGTTCTCCTCAGGGTTCCTGAGCCTGGAACGGGTCACCTGGCACTCGTCCTGCGAGGTGCTGCAGAGGATCAGCGAGTAAGTACTCAGCCCCGAGCAAGTACTCAGCCCCGAGCAAGTACTCAGCCCCGAGTAAGTACTCAGCCCCGAGTAAGTACTCGGCCCCGAGCAAGTACTCGGCCCCGAGTAAGTACTCAGCCCCGAGCAAGTACTCAGCCCCGAGTAAGTACTCAGCCCCGAGTAAGTACTCAGCCCCGAGCAAGTACTCAGCCCCCTCCCCTGGGAGACGCTGTTTCCTGTCTGAGGAAGCAGACTCAGCATCCTGCAGGGGAGCTGTCACCGCGTGTGGCGCCCAGGTCCTGAGGAGACATGGCTCTGCACCAGCGGGGTCTTTCCTGGGTCCCAGTGTGGGAAGCAGAGCCCGCCTTGTGCCCACCGAGACCCTCTGCAAGCGTGGTACGCACAGGGAGCACATTCCTAGTCATTCCTCCTCCAGCTGTGACAGTGTCTCCCTGGGCTGAAGTCTCTCCGTGAGCGGTAGTGTGCATGGTCACAGCCGTGCTGGACCTGCGTGTCCCGTCGTGTCGTGTGTCTTCCCCACGCTCCTGTTCCGTGGGGTCTGCAGCCTGATGCTGTCCCACCAGCTGTGGGGTAACGGACTCCGGGGCTGAGACGGGTGGTTGGGTGTGAGCAGGCACCACGAACCGAGTGTGTGCGGCCCTGCAGACGCGGTGCTGCCCACCAAGGCGCGCCGCGGGCCTCGCGTGAGTCTGCCGGGTCAGCCGTGCGAGAGCCGCGCTCACTCTGCAGTGGCGCTGAGAGCGGAGCACGGCCGTGGGTGTGACTGGCTCGTTCAGTGCGGTTCCTCCGGGAGGGGGTGGCTGTCTCTGGGTCTTGCAGATGAGCTCGCTGGAGCCGCCCCAAGGACTTAACTGCCCCGAGTGAACAGGCGGGTAGGGCTCAGCAGTCCGCGCTGGATGACCCCTGAGTTACCTCCGCGATTCTCCCGCCAGATCGGAGGCTGTCCACCCTGTTAAAAGCTGGATGGACATGAAGCGCCGTGTCGGGCCCTACCGGAGGTGCTACTTCTTTTCTCACTGCTCGACCCCGGGGGAGCCCCTGGTCGTCCTGCACGTGGCACTCACCAGTGACATCCCCAGCAACATCCAGGTACCGTGACCGTGACCGGTCGGTTCGGGACAAGAGGGCATCCCGCAGAGCCCCTTCCGGTTTTCCCTTTTACTGGGTTCTATCCTTTGAAAAGGGGAAATGCATAGCTCTGGATTTTGGCGAGCGTTTTCGCCTGTGGGCAGAGTCTGCCGATCTGCAGTCCACAGTGTGTGGGCAGCTAGGGAAGCAGGACAGCTGGGAGACGGAGCTGAGACGCAGGCCAGGTCCATCGGGGAACGGTGGTGAGGCTGAAGCCAGCGGTCCAGGAGAGAGAGTGGGAGGATGCCTGGCTTGGCGCTTCAGCGCTTGTGAAAGGCCCGCAGGGAGGGTGGGCGGACAGGGGAGAGATGCGCGCCTGCCCTGGGCCCAGCTGTCCACGAGGGGCCCCCACGCGGCAAGCTCTTCTCCTGCAGGGGCTTGCGTGGATTTCTGAGCCCCTCAGGCCGGCGCGCTGGGCAGTGCAGGGACCGCGAGGGAGCAGGAGAGTGTGCACCACGCGTCAGAGCGCTGTGCTCAGCCCCGAGGTTTGGGGCGGGGACTTAGAGTTGCCCCAGCCCGGGGGAAGCTGAGCAGAAGAGCACACTCCGCGAGACGGGCCGTGGGGCAGCGCAGCCTCGGGTGGGACACCACGAGCTGAGTCGGCTGGCGGGCAGCTGCTGGGTCTCTGGGAGAGACCTCCTCCCAGTCTGTGCGGTGGAGCAGCCTCCCACGCTGCCGCTGGCACCGGAAGTCATGAGGGCAGCGTGGCGGTGTAAGGTACAGGATATAAATGCGCGACCTCCGACCTAGACGTTCCGCTCTCGGGCGAGTATCCTAGTACAGGCGGTGGCTCCTGTAACCTGGTTGGCGGTTTAGAGACTGACGACCGTAGCCCGCCTGTCCATGGCGGGGGGGGGTGGGGGTGTCAGGACGGTGTCCACACAGGTGCTTCCTCTCGGGCCCCGGTTTGTGTGTGCAGTTAGACAGGACGTCACCTGTTTCTCATGGGCCGGCCGACCCTGACTCACTGCCGAGGGCTGGAGGGCGGCGAGCCGGCTCTTACCTCCGCCGTTGTTTGCCAGGCCATAGTGAAGGAGCAGCCCCCGGAGACCGAGGAGAAGAGCAGGATCGCCGCGGCCATCTTCTACTCCATCAGTCTGACGCAGCCAGGGCTGCAGGGCGTGGAGCTGGGCACCTTCCTTATAAAGCGGGTGGTCAAGCAGCTGCAGGTGAGCGCGCAGCCCCCGCGGCCTCCACTGCGGGTCAGGGGTCCCGGGACTGATGGAGGCAGGAGCCACCAGCAGGGAGGGGTCGCAGCGCCGGCGGCCCCTCGGCCAGTCCTCAGAGCCCTGAGGCTGCTGCAGAGTTGGGAATGGTGTTGAGACAAGGCGTGCAGGCCCTGGCTCCTGTGTGTGTGGACATCAGCCCTCCCCGGGTGACCGCATGTGAGTGGGCATTGTTGTCCCAGTGCCCACGACACAGCCTGCGGACACCCTCGCCATGCCGCGCCCTCCAGGCCTGGAGCCTCTGACGCCCCTCAGCATGGCTGCCTGTGGTCTGTGAGGGCCAGTCCAGCAGGCAGCTCACAGCTTGTGTTTGGTGCAGCGCTCTCGTGCCTGCTGTGCTGTGGAAAGCGCTGACACCCCCTGCACATGCAGAATGTGCACGTGTGCGCCAGGCCCAGCCTTCCAAACCCTCTGTCTTCAGGGGCTCAGGCAGGCCACACTAGCATCGTCACTGGTCACGCGACGGGGCTGCCGATCACGGGCTGTGGCGTGTCGTTCTCAGCTTCAGACGCTCCCCGCACACAGCAGAGCCGTGAGACGCGTTAGGGTGCAGCGTGCTTGCTGCTCCACTCATGATCTGTTCTCAGCCTGAGAACGCGGGACCCGGCGGGTAGCAGCTGCGTGACCGTACGCTCGGCCTCGCTCCCCAGAGGTGAAAACCAGCCACATCCAGTTAGTACAGCCACCACTTGGTGCCTTCCACTCTGCCACAGGTGTCGACAAGTGCAGAGGGCAAGACAGACAGGGCCAGGAGGAGCAGAGCCCAGGGCTCCGAGGATTCCCTCGGACTCCACCTCTGAGCCAGAGCCGCCTCCTTAACCGGGAGCACCCCGGTGGTGCCACACAGCTGGCTCCGGCCTGTGAGCAGGGAGGGCCTGGGAGGGCCGCTCGGCCCCCAGTGCTCATCAGGCTTGCAAAGCAAACAGCTGGAGAGCCACTTGACTGCCCAGTGACGGAGCACGCTGGGGACGCCGTGATCAGTCGTCTGAATACGAGGGTGCCTCAGGGGTTTATGGAAAATGAAGATATTTGGTGCAAAAAATTTTTAAATCCATGTGTACAAGGGGTCTTCCAAATATTTAGAGAAATATGTATGAAAAACCTGTACAGGCCAGCGCCGTGGCTCACTAGGCTAATCCTCCACCTTGCAGCACCGGCACCCCGGGTTCTAGTCCGGGTCGGGGCACCGGATTCTGTCCCGGTTGCCCCTCTTCCAGGCCAGCTCTCTGCTGTGGCCCGGGAGTGCAGTGGAGGATGGCCCTGCTTGGGCCCTGCACCCCATGGGAGACCAGGAGAAGCACCTGGCTCCTGCCTTCAGATCAGTGCGGTGCGCCGGCCACAGCGCGCCGGCTGTGGCGGCCATTGGAGGGTGAACCAACGGCAAAAGGAAGACCTTTCTCTCTGTCTCTCTCTCTCACTGTCCACTCTGCCTGTCCAAAAAAAAAAAAAAAAAACTGTACATGGATTTCAAAAATTTTTGCACCAAAATAAAGATATGCTCGTGCTGCAGACCACAGGGGGGGGGGGGGGCGCAGAAGGGGCCTGAGGCGCTGTCCTTCATCAGACTCCGGCCAGGCCTCTGCTCCAGTGCAGTGCGTGTGACAGACACGGCGCCGAGCCTCCCCCTCGCCCGGTCACATCAGCCGTGTCTCCCCACGCAGAGCTGTGCGGGGCAGAAACACCCTTCCGCACGCCGTCCCTCCCTGCCCGTCCCCGGCGAGGCGCAGGCGGGAGGCGGCTGTCCACTCGCGGGGCACTGGTAGTTCCGTGCCAAGCTGCAGAACAGGCCCTGGGCCGGGGGCGTCCGCGGGCAGGGCGTGCTGTGGTGTGGGGTGGAGATGGGGTCGGACCCTCTGGAGCACGCACCACTGCACCTGGCCAGCTGCGACTCCGGGCAAGGGCCCAGCTCTCCGGCCGCTGTCTGTGCACACTGACGGGCAGAGATGAAGCGCGTCCTGCAGGTCCCCAGCGCCTGTCGCACGAGACTGCCCACCACGCGGCACCCGGCGGCTGCTGGGACTCAGGCCGTGCATAGAGCGGTGCGTCCGTGCCGGGGCCGCACCTGCTGAATCCGTGTTCTCCCCCCGCTTTCCAGAAGGAGTTTCCGCACCTGGCGGTGTTCTCCAGCCTGTCGCCCATCCCTGGGTTCACCGCGTGGCTTCTGGGGCTTCTGAACTCGCAGGCCAAGGAGCGGGGCAGGAGTGAGCTGCTCACGGACTCCGAGTGCAGAGAGATCTCCGAGCTCACCGGGGGCCCCGCCCACGAGACCCTCAAGGCCCTCCTGGGCAGCAGCGAGTGGGCCGAGTCGGAGAAGCTGGTCCGGGCGCTGCAGGCGCCCCTGCTGAGGCTCTGCGCCTGGTACCTGTACGGGGAGAAGCACCGCGGCTACGCCCTCAACCCCGTGGCCAACTTCCACCTGCAGAACGGGGCCGTGCTGTGGCGCATCAACTGGATGGGCGACAGCAGCCTCCGGGGCCTCGCGGGCTCCTGCGGCCTCATGGTCAACTACCGCTACTTCCTGGAGGAGACCGGCACCAACAGCACCGCCTACCTCGGCTCCAAGCACATCAAGGCTTCCGAGCAGGTCCTCAACCTGGTGGCCCAGTTTCAGAAGAACAGCAAGCTCTGAGCTGGTCTCCGACAGCCCCAGCCTGGCGTGGGGAGGATCCTGGGCGCGGCGGCGCTTTGGGAGGAAAGCCGGGGCGGAGCCGGGCGCTGTGGAGGCCGGGCCTGGCTGCCGGAGCCGAGACGGCGGCCGTGGACGCGGCCAGGCCTTGTGCTGCCCCCGTGGCCTGGAGCCCTCCCTCATCCCAGGGCGGCTCACGTGGCCCACAGGGACCAGGGCAGGGGCCTGACGCAGCAGATTTCTGTCGCGCTGTGGGGCGTCCCTTGGTGCTGGCTGCGTTGGCCGCTTTTCCCCAGGCCACGGCGGGGACACGAGGCCGTGCTGCGTTTCACCAGCTGGATCCTGACGCTGGGCCCAGAGTAGAGTAAGTGAAGTCCGCGACTGCACAGATGTCGCTGTCCGAGGCCTGCGTGGGCTGCAGGCTTCAAAACGGTGGTCGTGCGGGTTCATAATGAAGGGAATGGTCAGGAACAGGTTTGTTCCGTAGCATTAAACGTGATTATTTAATTTCTCATGGCGGTTGTCTTTAGGATTAGAGTCCTCATAAGGCTGGCGTCCACTCTGAAATGTTAGCTGTGCCAGTGTGGGGTGAGAACAGGACAGAGCGAGCACTGTGATGGGGGAGGCGTGTCTGCGGGCGCAGCTCTGTGTGTGAACGCGTGTCTCCGTCCGTCCACCACGTTTCGCCCTTGGCGGTGGGCAGACGTCACACCTGCCCTGCTCTCCATCTTCCAGACTCCCCCAGTCCCGCTGGTCACATGCCGCCTGGACTTGTTGGCTGCTAACGGTGGGACGGTGGTCCGTAGCCCTGGAGCTTCTGACCGTTGGGGGAAGCAGCCCGCTGCCCCCACGTCGCGGGGCCTGATTCCAGGAGCCCAGAGCTCCGACGCGTCTTGCAGGCCGACCGTCCCAGCCCCTGTAAGGGCAGAATTGCACGTGGCCGATGTCCCGGACCCTCACCCACCCCTACGCCTTCCTCCACTGCTTCCTCCTTAGCTTTCGGCTTGGGTCACCAGGGCACCTCGGGCTCCTGCGTTGCGTCCTCTGCCTCCAGAACGCCGCAGGACAGTTCCAGAACTGCTCGGGCCGGGGCTGCAGCCCCGCAGCCACCCTGGCAGAGCGGCTTCACTGTTCTGTCCCTGTGGGAGGGGTCGTGACCTGTGCCGTGCTGGGAAGCTGGACGGGGCCACAGTGGCTGAGGGGGCCCTGTGCACGCCAGGCCCTCTGTGGAAGTCAGCAGCGGGCACATGGCGGCAGCCGGCGCTCCCCGGCGGGTCTTAGGACGGAACTCAAATCAGTTTCCTGACTGTTGAGTGCATCACACTGCTCCCTGCTTGCCACTCACCGCGGGGGCAGAGGGCCCCCACCTCCGTGAGCTTAGGCTCCGTAGCTTCCCGTGGGAGCAGTGGGCCCTGCCTCCCGGTCCGCCGCCAGCACGCAGAGGCCCATTCCGTTTGGGGTGGAAACGGAGCCCACGTGGCGTGAGGTGCACAGCGCACGGGCGAGGTGGGGGGGAGCCCTGGGGGCTGTGTCTCACTGCCCACTGCGGGGAAGTGTGGACGGACATTAGAGGGCAGAACGGGGACGGTGAGCCCGGCTCCCAGCTCCCACAGTCCTCTGTGCCCCCTTATCGTCAGACCTCCTCCCACTCCCCCGTGCCTTCATGTGGCAGGTCCTCAGCGAGCACTGGATGGCAGGTGGGGGGTAGATGGACAGACGGACACGGGTGCTGAGGCACGGGGCTGCGTGGGCCTGCTCGCTCCCGGCATGCCTCAGTCCACACCCCTGAAGGAAGAGGAGCCTGAAGCGCTTGCTGGGCCACGCGAGCCACGATCCAGCCTCACGTCACGCTGGTCCCAGGAAGCCCGGCCCCCATCAGTGGTTTCCTCACACCCGCCCTTGAGCCCCCAGAAGCACACGGGTGGCCGCTGGCTCCCCTCCCCCTGAGGGGCGGTCCGGCTCCCGCGTTTGCCCACAGCATCCTTCACTGGGGACCACAGCTGAGCAGGAACGGGAAGCAGGCAGCCGCCCGGCTCGGAGGCCGCAGAGGCCGCAGAGGCCACAGGCTGAGCCCCGGCGCTGTGCGTCGGCCTCTCCCAGGGACACGCTCCCTGATGCCCTGGGCTGGGTCTCTCCGGAGCACACAGTGTGGAGGACACGAGTGGCCGGGCAGTTCCTAGAAGGCGGGGAGGGGCCGTGCCCTCCCTCCCCCATCTGAGAGGCGGTGCTCCGGGGGTGACGGTTAACAGCTGCCCGCCACACAGGCTGTCACTGCACAGCCCAGCAGCGGACAAAGCCCGGAGCATCCCTACCCGGGGCCAGCTCCAGCCCAGCCCTCCCCCAGGACAGAGCACCGCCCACTGCCCTGTCAGCCTACTACTGATCCCCCCCCACCCCCGCCCCGCCCCCGTGTTGAAAGACCCCTGCACTGGGCCCCACCCCGGGCCCCTCACAGCACAGGGTGTGGTCATTTGCATTCCAAATCAGGCTCCCCCTCCCCATCTCTGGCTCACACCCTCCCCTGCCAGCCTGGCCCTTCCCTCTCCTTCCCAGGTAAGTCTGGGAGCTCACACCCCCACCCTGCCCAGTCCTGCTGTGGGCAGGCCACGCCCACTCGCCGTCCAACTGAGACCCTCTCCCTGCCTGCCTGACACCCAGACCCCCACTCCCTGCGCCTTCCACACCGGGCGGTTCAGTGTGGCTTCCCTGGACGAGAAGCGGCCTGCAGGCAGGGCCCCTGCTGGGTTCCTCCCGCCAGCGCGGCCCGGCTCCTGGCTCCTGGCCGAGCACTTTGGTCACCCACGTGCCCCAGGCCTAGGGCTTCACCCCTAAGGACAGGGTCTTCCTGGCTCCTGGCTCCTGGCCCTGGCCCTGGCCCCTGGAACCGCCCCCAAGACCCACAGGACCCTGCCCCCTCCAACTCCCGGTTTCCCCCCAGGGCTTCAACTCTGGGGGGCGGTTTCTCCCCGGACACCGGGACGAAGAAGCTCAAGGGGCCGCCTCGGCCCGACGCCGACGGCACGAGGGGGAGCTGGCGTCTGCGCCTCCCAGCAGCGCTGGGCACCTGGCTCGGGCTGCGAGGCCCTGGACGACCTCTCGCCCGGCCGGTTCCCGGGAACGCGGGTGGGAGTGGGTCTGGGAGCTCCGGGATGAGAGTCCAGGGCCGCCGTCCTCGCGGCTGTGTCCGCCCAGGGCCACCAGGTGGCGCTGCGGCGGCGCCCGGTCTCTGCCGGAGCGTGGGGGCCGAACGCCGGTCTCCGGGGGGCTGGGGGGCGGATGCGGGGCCGAGCGGGGGTCCCCGCCCGCGTCGCGAGGCCCGCCCCGCGCCCAGGCCGACTGAGGAGGGGCTGCTGGTTCCGAGACGGCAGCCCCGGGCCGAGCGACCCCCGCCGCGGTTTCCCCGGCAAAAGCCGGCCTAGACGTTGCAGGAGGAAACCCGTACCCTAAAACCAAGCCGTCGGTTTCCCTCTCCCTCAAAAAAGAGGGGGGCGGGTACTGGTAGGGGGCACTAAAACCGCAGGAGCCTCGGTGAGGAGATGGCGGCGCCGGCCCCGCGGCGGACCCGTGCGCCTCGGGCTTCCCTCGGGAGCTTCCTGGTTCGCGTCGTGCTGGGGGGACCAGACCCGCCAGGCGGGCAGGAGGAGCCCGAGTGCCACCGCTTGCCCGGCCTGCGAAGAAGCCGGGGACGGCCCCCGCTCCTGGGGACTCTGGAGAACGGCCGGTGCGCGCGTGGGAGCCGCCAGCCCGCTGGCCGGGGCGCACGGCCATCTCGCCCCACACCCCTCCAGACCCCAAAACCGCCTCGCTGCTGCGGGTGGGGACGTCCCCCTAGGGCGCGGGGGCGGCCAGTTGAGGGCCTCGCGCCAGAGCCGCGCACTGACAGGCTCCTGGGCCCCTGGCCCCTGGCCCCTGGCCCCTGGCCCCTGGCCCCTGGCCGATCCAAACTTAACATCCGGTCCCCCGGTGACGGCAGCCAAGCCCCTAAGTAACCCTCCAGGCCTCTGCCTTCCGGTCCTGTGCATACAGCCTGCGGGCCGGGTGGGCACCCACCGAGGAAGACCGTGTTGCCGTGACACCTGCTGCCCTGCTGTCTGGGGGCAGGGATCCAGGCTCCCCCCCCCCCCCCAGGGTGAGGGGCTCAGCTTGCGGAGGGTCACCAGCCACATCCGTGTGTGCGTGCCGGGGGCGCCTGGCCCTCGTGGGACGTGTCAGAGCCACACCTCTCCCACTCTTCCAGCCTGGGCATTGCCAAGGAGGGGAGAGGCCAGAGCGCACCACCCTCCCGTGGCAGCCCCGGGCCGCCCCCAAATGCTTGTGGAACAAATGGAGGCCCCATGGGTTTTGGTCCTTTATTTTTTTTATTTAAAACTTTCATATTTGCATTCCAAGTGAGGTGTTTGTTTATTAAAAGCCTCTGGGTGGGAGTTGAGTCATGAGAGGGGCCTGGGGGTCATTCCTGCTGCACCCAGAGTGCAGGCTGCGCCCCCCCCTCGCCTCGCGCCTCCCTGGGCTGCTCCCCCGGCTGCTCCAGGCCTGCCACCTCCCAGCGCCTCTCCCTGCACTGAGCTGGGATTCTGCTGCCCCTTGTGCAGCTCTGCCCAGAAGGTCCGAGTCCTCCCATCCCAGGCTGAAGAGGACCAGCTCTCGTAGCCTGTCCTGGACACTTCCAGGGGTGGCAGGTGTCGGGGAAGGGTCGCTGGAGGTCACAGGTGCAGGACAGGAGGTGGGGCACTGGCCCCCAGTCTCACCTGCACGGAATCCTGTGGACACAGAACAGAGCTCTCCCAGAGCCTGGCCCGGGGCGGGTGGGCGGGCCCCACCCTCTGACTGTCTCCTTACGCTCTGGGGGCTGAGGTGGCAGCAGTGGGGAGGGGGAGCCATGTGGCGCAGGCATGGCTGCTGAGGGGCAGGGGCGGCCGGGGCCTCCCAGCGGCTCTCAGAAGAACTATGACCCCCGGGAGGTGAGTCCCCTGATGCGGGTCCCGCCCAGAGTGCCCACAGGACGCTGCTCCTGGTCCCCTGCTGTCAGAGGACGGTTCTGTGTAGTTGAGAGAGGTGCCTCGGTTTCCCCGGCAGTTCCCTGGAGGGCAGCCGTGAGATGACCTCTCAGGCAGGACCTCTCCCGAGCGCCACCGCAGCGGCAGGCCTGTCTCCCAGCGGTGAGCTCACGGAGCCCAGGGCATCAGTCAGTCCAGTCCAGTCCAGCTCCGGCTCGAACTCTCTCGTGACCCTGGCTGCACGCATTCCGGGGAGGGGGCTGGGCTGCCCAAGTTAATCTCAGCCCAGGACCCAGTGTGTCAGCTGTGCCCGGCCGGGCGCTCCTGTCTCCGCCCAGCTCTTCCTGGGGCCGCTGGCCTCACTCGGCCTCCAACAGGGAAGTTCTCACGGAAGGCGCCCGCCCCCCACCAGCTGGGCTGCTCCCAGCAGGCTCTGCATTGAGCCCTGCCCACCCCCACCCCAGTGTCAGACCCCGTGGGCAAAGCCTCCTGCTGTGTGCAGGGCTTTCCCTCCGGGCTCACAGGGCCCTGGGCGAGGGCAGGGGACCAGCTGAAATCACAGAGCGAGGGCCTCCAGCCCCACCCTCCCACCTATGCCCCTCCCACCCTGAGCCCCAGCGTCGAGGGAGGGGGCAGCCTTAGCCCAGGGCCTCTGTTAGCCTAAGAGAGGGCAAGCAGCCTCCCAGGGGCTACACAGCCCGAGGCGGGGTCAGCACCTGTGGCCCCTCAGCCCGCCTCCCCCCAACCCCTCTCCCCGCCCCCAGGAGGTGCACAGGTGAGGCCGGTGGCTGCAAACAGGAGCCAGCAGGTGGTGGTGCTGGGCGGAGGGTGGGGCTGCGGCTGCCCACGTGGACGCAGCTGTTAAGCGGCCGACGCTCTGGCCTGAGGCCCACGCCAGCTCCCCTGGGCAGCGGGCCCCCTCCCGTTTTCTGGGTGCTATCGCTGTGCTGTCTGCCCGAGCCCAGCGGAGAAGGGGGCAGCCTGGACTTGTGCCCGGTGACCAGCGCCCAGCCACCCCAAGGCAGGACTTTATGATGCGACAGACAGGCCAGCCCGGGCTCCTGCCCCCTGGCCTCCCTGCTGCCACGTCCTGGGGGGGGTCCCCCGGGGGAGGGCCAGCACCACTGTGCCTGTTCCTCCTCCCGGGCCACCTGGCCTCTCTGTTACCTCCACACCCAGCCTGCTCATCGTCCGGTAAGGAGGGCCCCCAGCAGGCGGGCAGGGGCTCGCTGCAGAGGCCTGGGGCGGGGGGCAGTGGGGCTGAGACTTAAAGGTAGTGGCCAGGCCTCCTGGCCCCAGAGCAAGGAGGGTGAGCTACGAGTGTGGGGATCCTAATGGGAACCTTGCACCAACCTTAGGAAAGTGTGGTGGCCCTGGGCCTCAGTCTCCCTGGCAGGAAAATGGGCTCAACCCCCCCCCCACTCAGGGGTGCTGGGAGGGAGAAAGGGGTGCCTCCGTGGGTGTCCCCCAACGTGTACACAGAAGTCATTGTCATCTGCCGCTCACGCCAGCAGCCCAGGCCCCTTGGAACTGGTAGGCAGGGCGGGGGGCAGCCAAGCCATGCTGTGTCCACCTTCGAGACCTGTGTTCGCACCTGCTCAGTGTCAGGCTGCCGTGGACAGCTCGGGCCCTGCACAGAGGCCCAGCCTGAGGCTTTTCTCCACCTCCTGAACTCTGGGCTCAGGGGTGGGCTCCCCAGGAGACCATGGCGTGCCTTGCCGGCCCTTCCCGCCTGCCCAGCAGTCCCTGGGCCCTCACTGGGCCTCTCCCCGTGCTCGGGTGGGGATGCCCATGCCTCGTCTGTCCAGTTCCCCCATCCAGGCTCTCACGGGCACTGCTGCCCGGCCCCGTGACAGACCCGTCTCCCAGGACCATTCCCAGGTCCCTGGCGGCCGTGAGTCCCACGGGGAGCTCTGAATGGCTCAGAGACCTGCACAGGGCTCTCACGCGTGCTCCAGTGCCACCAGGGGAGAGGCCAGCTGGCCTCGGGCGGTGTCCCGAGCCCCTGGTGCCTCTGTCCCTGTCTGCAGCCCTGCTGTGCTGAGCGCTCGGCTCCTTGGGCCGCTCCCTTGCACAAGACTTGGTGCTTAGTTCTTGTAAAACTGGCGGTAGGTGTTCATGTTTGTGGAGTCCCGTGCAGTAACCAGTGGACGCACGCCCTGAGCGCCCGTCACCCCGGGGCCGTTAGCATCTTCCTCTCCTTAAATGCCTGTGGGTTCTCTGTGCTGGCCACCTTGCCCGCCTCTCCTGTGGTTCTTGATGAAGTGTGGGGTCGACCGTGGTCATGCCCAGCGCTGTGGAAAAGCCCCACCTCCTGTCTCATGTGTTCAGCCCCCCTCCCCGCCTCTCCCACCCTTCAGCGTCTGCAGGAGTGGGAACACGGAGCCGTTGTCTGTCTGTACCTGGCTCATTTCCCGTGGCGTGGCCTCTGATGGGGTGTCTCCCTTTCTTATTCCGTGTAGTGGCCGGCAGTGGCCAGCAGCCGGCGGCCTCCAGCCATGCCTGGGCTGGCATGAAGGGGCCGCACTCAGATGCCTCTGGGGCAGACAACTCTGGTTCCCGCGGATGTGCACCTGCCAGTGGGGGCTGCTGGGTCGTCCCCTGGGTCTGTTGTAGCCCCCGAGGCGCCGCCACCCTGTTTGCCGTGATGGCGTCCCCAATGTCTGTTCCCGCCAGCTGTTGGGAGAGCGCCGCTGTGTCCGTCTTCAAACCAGCACTGCTCTTGGTGTTGGAGCTTGGCTTGGCCCAGGAGTGACCCCTGGACTCGACCTCATCCTTCCTGCTGGTGGCTGCCCCTGGGGGGCCCTCGCCCTGGTCATGGGTTCCCATCCTGGGGGCCCTGTGTGTGCTGTGGCATCCGGCCCACAGCTCGTAGGAGGCCCGTGAAATCGTGGGCTCTGGCCCGGCCCGGGCAACTGCAGGCAGCACTTGAAACTCCATCTACAGCAGACTCGTTTTTAAGTTCGTGGTTTTGTGTGACGTAAACACCCACATGGCCCTCGGCGGAGAAAAGTTCCCTACCCCCCTGCCCGCACAGAAGCCGAAGAGCCTGGTGGGGGGCGGCTGCTGCTGGCCTTTGGAAGCCAGAGTGGACGCTCCGCATTGACCCCAACCCCGCCCCTTCCTGCAGGGCAACCTTGGCAGCCTCATCATCTGCTTTCAACAGCAGCTCCAGGTGGGGGCGGCCTGGGGGCGGGTGGTCCCTAAGTGGTCCCCACTGGCTGGCTTCTCACCCCCAGGGCCTTTGCACAGGGGCTGCCCCCCACCCCGGCTGCCTTCCTGCACCCCGGTTTTCCCCTCTGAAACTGCTGGCTGCACAGCTCTGGTCCCCAGCCAGCCGTCGGCCCGCTGCTCGCCCGTCCTCTCACCTGCAGGGACTCTGCCCAGCAGGCACCAAGAACAGGGTGTTCTGCCAAGGGGCCCCAGAGGTGCCTGGCTCGGGAGGGCCCCACCTGCGTCCCTTTGTCCCCTCGCTGCACCACCCATGCAGGGAGAGCAGGGCCCGCGGCTGGGCGGGGACAGAACTGGAACCGAAAGGAAGGTGAGCCAGCACCACCCTCCCCCGGGCGGGTTAATCTCTGGGAGTGGCCTGCAGCTGACCTGTGACAGACGCCCACAGGCCAGCTGGCTTAAAAAAACACAGTCTGGACTCACAGAAGCCAGAAGCGAGGAGCCAGCGGCGGGGAGGGAGGGGGACGACTCTCATGGGCTCTGCCAGCTCCTCTCCCTGTCACGTGTCCCGCCCGTGTGTGGGCTCCAGTCTCGGCCCCTCTGGCCACGTGGCCTTCCCCATGTGTCGCGTCTCCCTCTCGCAAGGGCACTCGTCTTAGGCTTTAGACCTCAGTTGGAGACCCTCAACCTCACCCCACCTGCAAAGACCTTTTTCCCAAATACGGTCCCCGGCAGCCACTGTCCTGGGGCACTCGTCTCCTGGGGCAGCCACGACTCAGCCCGGGCAGAGAGGGCCGGAGCCGCTGGGGCTCCCTGGCTCCTTGTCCACTCCCCAAGCCTCTCGGTCCTCACATGAGGAGGGGAGGGGAAGAATCCGGAATATTCGAGATGGAATGGAAAGTACCCCTACACACACCTGCAAGAGGGCCTGGCAGGTGCATGGGAAACTGGACAGCCATGTGCAGTCAGTGCCTGCTGTTGTCCCCCCTGCCCCAGGTCACCAGCAGGGTCTCCAGCCTTCCTCAGCCCTCCTGCAGGCTGCCACGCAGCCACTGGGCATCCTGGAATGCCCACAGGAGCCCATCCCCGCTCCCCTGCCCATCCCTGCACCTCCTCCTCACACACCTCCCAGGGGCCCCAGCACTCCTGGGGAACACCTCTGCCTCCCCGGCTGCCCTGGCCAGAGCCTCCGGCCCTGACTCCTGCTGGCTAGCTGCCCCCGCCCCCCAGCCTCTGACCCGTTCTCACACTGCGGGTGCAGAGAACATGCCGGAGGATCAGCTGTGCCCCGACACAGTCCCAGGCCAGAAACAAGCCCAGCCCGAGTTGTCTGCCAGGCTCAGGCTCTCTCTGGCCTCCCCCAAAGGGAAGACATCCAGCCACTCTTGGGGAGCTGGGGGCCAGCCCTCCTGGCACTGTCCCCCATGGGCCGGGGGCCATGACCATGGCCATCTCCTACAAGGGAAAGCTGGGTGGCCCAGTTCGGGCACCAGCACTCGCTGAGCACCTGCTGGCCATTCTGTGGCTGCCTGGGGGACGAGCGCTCTGGGAAACAGCAAGTGCAAAGCCCGAGGCAGGAGCGAGCGTGGCGCCGTGAGCAGCCAGGGAGGCAGCAAGGAGAGAGGTCAGCAGGGACCTGTTCATACCTGGGCTGGAGGGAGGCCATCAGGGGCTGCCTGGTGTGCCTGTCCAACCACTGACGGGAGGACGCTGGAGGGCCACCACCACTGAGGCGGCTTTGCAGCAGGCAGAGCAGGGCGGTGCTGTCCAGTGACCCCACACTGAATGCACTCACGGAGGGGGAGAGCCAGGGGTGACTGAGGGTTCGGCCTGAGCTGCTGCAGCAGAACGGCGACTCGGGGAGGGGCAGCAGTGGCGCCCAGGCGGGAGCACCCGTCCCGCGCAGGGAGCAGCACCTGGCTGCACCCTCCTCTGCCCTGCGCCAGCAGGCCGGGGCGGGGCAAGAGTCCCACCTGGGACCCGGCCCCACCCAGTCCCGGCCAGAGCCTTGCACAACGTGGAGAGGGACCTCTCGGCCCTGGGTGCCTGGGACACAGCCGCACTGTGCTCAGAGCCCCACCCCGCCCCCACCCCGTCACTGCGCACCGGCCTGCTCCCCAGCTCCTCACCCACCAGCACCTGCCTGGTGCCCGCTGCAGGGAAGCAGGCACGCCGAGGCCTTGCTCCTGCTTTGGCCGGAAGACGTCCAACACAGAGCTGTGGACAGGACCCCGGCCTCCGCCAGCCGCAGGCCTGCCCCGGGCAGGCGTGGGGGCAGCGGGGAGAGGATGGGGGAGGGGCATTTGGAATGGAAAGGACTCGGAAGGGGCTGGGCCAGCCCTGTCCCCTGGGCTCCCTGCTGACCAGCTGTGATCAGTTGTGATGGTGCCGCCGGCAGCCAGTGCCGATCCTGACCTGTGGGTGCTGTAACCTCCATGCGGGGGGTCCGAGAGAAAACAGGCCCAGAGCAGTTTAGTCACTTGCTCAAGTGACACTAAGGCCCTAAACGCACTGCCTCTCACAGCCCCCTTCTCCTTGACCCCCTCTCTGCCCGCTCCCATCCACCCCAGCTATTGCCACCCCCGGGCCTTGGCCTGTGCTGTGCTCTCTGCCGGCAATGTTCTGTTCACCCAGCCTGGGGTCTCAGTGTCCAGAGAGGCCGGCCACGGCCACAGCCACGGCCCTGCCTGCTGGCTGACCACTGCTTCCCTCAGCTCAGCCGCGCGCCCCATGTGAGCGCCGGCCAGGAACGCAGCGGCCATCAAGGAGAGCGAGGCCCTGTCCTCAGCACGGCGCGTGGGGCCAGTGGCCAGCCCTGTGCCCATCGCTCGGCTCCAACCACACTTGTACTTGGGTTCCCTAGGGGGAACAGGCCCAGCTCCACCCCCTGCCGCGTCTCTGTTGGGAGGCGGGGCTCAGCACCCAGGATCACTGACAGACACTGAGTCAGCGGTGCCCTCCTCTGCCGGGGCACCCAGGATTGCGCACAGACCACCGGCTCTGCCCACGCCTGCCGGTCCTAGCTCGCACCCTCGTCTGACCCCCGCCACGTCCTCAGCAGGTTAATCACCGCTGGAGGTGGCCCTAGGTGGTGCCCAGGGCCCCCAGAGGGGGGCGCGGGTGTCCCCCTCCGCTGTCCTGCGCTCCGAGTACCTGGGCGGCAGGGCGGTCGTGGGCGTTGATGCGCGCGGCTGACGCACGGTTCCCAGTGCATTCCGGGAAACACCAGCTCTGTAAGCTGCCTGGGGAGGGAGGCTGTGTGCTCAGGGGATTAGGGGAGCCCGGCTGTGAAGCTGTGCCCTGGGCCAGGAAGGCAGAAGCCCCCACCAAGAGGGGAGGGCAGAAACACTGGGGAAGGGAGCTTCCTGTGGAACCTGCTAGAAGGGCTGCGCCTCCCCCAGGCGCCAGCAGACACCGGGATGGCCCGGAGGCCAGCGAGTGCCCGAGGCCTGCGAGGCCGTCCCCTTCAGACCCCCGCTCCTTCTGGGCTGAGCTGCGCAGAGCTGGCAGTGAGCGGGCTAGCGCGCTCGCGGGCAGAGCGCAGTCCCCGCTGCCAGCGTCCTGGAGCCAGCAGGCTTCCTGCCCCCGAGAGGGAGGCCAGGGGTCCTTGGCTGGGTGCCTCCACCCCGGTTCACCAGCGCCCAGGGCCGTGAGGAGCCGAGCTGAGAATGAGCAGGGGAGGCTCCCATCACAAGTATTTACCACGCAGGCAGGGCAGGGGGCGGCTCAGCGCTCGACACCCACCCAGGCCCCAGCCCCTCGGCCCCTCTCGGACACAGCCTCTGCCACCCGGCTCCTGGACCACAGAGCTGGCTCCTCCCCCCACCCTCCCTTCTCGGCTCGTGCCCGTCATTCTTCCTTTCTCTCATTGGCCATCTTGGAGCATTTTTCCAGGGTGACCGCAGAGTACTCTGCCGTGAGCTTGTGCCAGTACCGATTTCGTGCGTCTCGTAGAGACTGACATGCAGACGCGACCCGGCCCAGCCCGTCTGGAGGGTGCTGGGGTCAGAGGAGACGTCCCTCTGCAGAACCCCGACAGGGCGGCACCGGGTGCCAGCCGCATGCGTGGCCGTCGTGACGGCTGTGGAGGGAGAGCGCTCCTTTGAGAGAACCTCCCCGCCCCTGCGTCCACCTGCCCGTGGCTCCTGTCCTGGGCTCTGACTCCTGGGAGCTGGCGCAGGAGGTGGATGGATAAAACGAGCCGGGGCTTCTGCTCTGTTGCCCCCCCCCCAGCCCTGGCACGCCAAGACCTCATGCTGGGAGCCCAACCGGGGGACAACAGCAGCAGGAAGCCTGCAGTACCCCCACCCCGGGCTGAAGGGCGAGAGCCAGGCTGGGCAGAGGAATCCTGGGACCAGACACGGTCTCAGAGGAGCTCCGCCAGGGAGCGTCACCCAGCGCGTCCCCATAACTCAATCACATAAATAAGTCACATTTAAAGCGAAGGCGACAGAGGCGCAGTACACACGGCTCACTGGTTGCCCTACACCCGGCCAGTGGGAGCACCTGTGCACGGGGGTGCCAGGGTTGGGCGGAGCCACGCTCCAGAAGTGCGTGGTGGGGGTGGTCACATCACTGCTGTTGGCAGACCACAAAGCAGGGCTCCCACGGCAGCCTCCCCCACCCCAACTGAAGAAGCTGGTCTGGGAGCAGCTGCCGGCACCCCACCGCCCCCCGCTGCCCTGCCCATCCCCTCTTCCTCCCTCTTCCTCCCTCTTCCTCCCTCTTCCTCCCTCTTCCTGTCCTCTGACCTCCAGCTGCTGTTTCCCGTGATCAAACAGCAGAAGTCGGCTGGCCAGGGCACCTGGGGTGCGCGGTGTCCTGGGCTCAGAGCAGGCGGCCTCTGCCCGTGGGAGCCGAGGCTCTGTGAGCCGCACGTCCCGCCTGAGTGCTCACACACAGCCGGGAGCCAGCCTGTTCTCCACACCCGTGTCTGCCGCCCACACACAGGAGGCCGCACTGCTGCGGGAGGCACCTGGGGAGGGGGCGGGAGCAGGGCTGCTGGGCTCTGCCACCCTAGGGTGTCTGATTCAGCCCCTGGGGGTGGGGGAGGGGAACAGGCGCTTGCATTTCTGAGCCTCCCGTGGCTGGTGCTGCTGCTCTGGGGCCCCGCACTGAGAGGTTATAGGAGGACTCGGCTGTACTAAGCCCCACCCACCCCCACGCCAGCAGCTGGAAGAGGAGTGCTGGTGGTCTCTGGCTCGCGGTGCCCAGGCCAGGGCTGGCAGTGGCTGGCAGCCTGGGCAGTACCGGGGCTGGTGGGCTCCCGGGACGCAGTGCAGCCTCCTGAGTGCCAAGGGTGACCTGCTGAGCGCTCTGAGCCCTGACCCGGGCTGCGAAGGAAACCGGAAGTCGGGACAGAGCTCTGCGGGGGCGGGGGGGGGGGCAGGACGGGGCCAGGGAGCTCCCAGCTCCCCACGCCAGGGCAGAGGCCTGGGGGGGCCGGGGGGGTGGCGCGGAAAGAAGCCAGACCAGAGAGAGCACATCCTGTGCAATTCTGCAATTCCTTTTGTATCACGTCCCAGAGCCAAACCGAGCGACCGAGACAAAAAGACGAGGACTGGGGGGCGAGGGTGGGGGGGGCCTTCCAGGGCGAGCCTGTGTCTCAGCCGAGGCACTGTGGCTCCCAGCCTCCCGGGTGTGACCGCAGCGGGAGTGGAAGAGGCCTGGGGCCAGGACAGACGAGCAACAAGCAATGGGGCTTCGTGCCCCTCGGCTCTGGGGACGCCCAAGAGGGCGTTTGAGGCCACAGCGCCGGGCTCACGGGGGAGGAGCCTGGCGGGCAGCAGTGCAGCTCCGGCTCGGGGCCTCCACGCTCTGGGCTGGGCGGGTGTTGGAGACTGGGGTGCGGGGAGCCGTGCAGGGCCAGCACGGCTCTCAGGACCTCTGTGGAGCGTGGTGCACGGCGGGAGCTCCATCCTGATGCCGGCAGGGATGAGAGAGAGTAGGGCCGGGCTCACCCCAGCTGGTTCTCGCCACGTGCATGGTTGGCTGTCAGAACCGCCCAAGCTGCCTAGTTGCGGGCTCGAAATTTGTCGGTGTTGTTGAATCGGGGCCCTGCCAGTTATGTGACCGGTGCTGGTTCTGGCCCGGCAAGGGTGCATCGAGGCAGCTTTGGGTGGACAAGACCCCGTGACCAAATCAGACCAGCACAGCCGTGTGCGTCTGCAGAAATGCACCTGTGGCCACACGGCTGCTGGGGACGGTGGTGGACCCGGGTGTGATTATGGTGGGGTTAGGGCAGAGCTGCACCACGCCGGAGATTCTGCGGGACCTGGCTGAGGCCCAGGGGGAGGCGCCAGCACGCACGGCCAGGGGGCACTGGGGGCAGGTGCTCTGCGCCTTGGCCCAGGGCTGCCTGCAGGGTGGAGGGCTGAGGCTGGACCAAGGGTGTCACGCCTGTGTCTCCCATGGGAGGAGAAGCCCACGCACCCTTCCCCAAGTAGAGGCTCCTGGGGTGGGAGACGGCCCACCCAGCAGCCCTGGGAAGAAGGGCCACACCCACGCCCTGTGCCCCATCTGAAGCTCTGCCCACTGGACTTTGACCCCCTTGTGCCTCCGTATTCCTGCACACTGCACATGCGTACACACTTTTGCATGTAGGCGCACATATGTGTGCACACACACAGAGCTTCCTGGAATGTGGCCCCTCCCTTCCTGGAGTGTGGCGCTTCTTCCTGGGGGTGGGACGTAGCTGTGACCTTGATGCTGCAGCCCCCAGCCCACACTTGTCCCCTTCCTCCCCCAGTCTCTTCCACACTGACCTTGTCCTGCTTCTCTGGGGTCCTCTCATTGTCTCAGGAGAAGGACCAAACCCCTTCCCTAGCCGCGAGTCCTCTGGAATCTGGCTGCTGTGACCTCCCAGCCCTCGGCCCTGGGCCCCCTCCCAGCTCTCAGGACACTGCCTCCAGCTGCAGGGCCTCTGCAGGAAACTGGCCCAGGCTGCCCGCATGCTGCTACGTGGAGCTGTGGCTGGGTCCCCCTTGGCGGGCGGGTGGGCGTCTCCCTCCTGCCCCCAGCTCGTGGGGCCTCCGAGGCTGCTTTAGGAGGTCACCTGGGGTGCAGTCTGAGGTCTAGACCGTCCAGAGGGGATGTCACTGGCCCCACAGAGCCGCAGCTGCCAGCACCAGGGGGCGCCAGCGGGGAGCCGCCTCCGCCCACGCAGTTGTCTGGCTTCTGCCCAGCCCTCCCCTCCCACTCGCTCCCTCCCTACGCTCCCCTCCGCTCCCTGAACTTTAAACACCACCTGTTTGCCGAAGGCACCCACGCTCACGCTGCAGCCATGGCCGCTGGGTCCCCGGCCCCCAGGCTTCTCCACTCCATCCTCCCCACCCCCTCTCCGTCTCTTCCTCTCGGCCATCTCCATCCCGGGATGTGCCCTGTCAGCATCCATCTCTCCCTGCTGAGCCAGAAACTGGCCTCCCCCTGTCCAGCACGCCCGCCCCCCGTGGAGGCTGGGTCGGCCGTGCCCGCCCACGCCGAGGTGACTGCCAGGGAGGGCAGTGGAGAGAGCCCAGGCCAGCTCCTGCAGGGCCTCTTGGCAGGTGAGGTGCGAGGCCAGGCGCCTGAGGGTCTGACTGGTGGTTTGCAAGGTTCTGGGGGCCTGCAGGGCGCAGTAGCCAAGGCCCGGGCCCTGCTGCTTCCCACGTTCATGGGAGCCGGGAAGTCTTCCTGGGCCTTCCCGGAGCTCTGGTCAGTGCCCTCCCCAGAGAGGAGAGGGCTTGCTCGCAGGACCAGAGCGCAGGTCCCTGACCCCGGCTGTCCCAGCAGGCAAGGCCTACCTGTAAACCAGATAAGGGCCGCAAACAGGGGTTTTTAGGAACACATGAGACAAAGGAAAACAAAGCGACGGCCCAGCGAGCAACAGCCCAGACTGCTCGGGCTCTGCCAAGAGCAGTGACCTTGGACTAGAACCGGTCACTCGCTGGTCAGCAGGGCCCGCAAGCATGGCTGTCCATGGGCTGCAAACTGCCCGCAGGTCCCAGCGTGCGACGGACCTGGGCACTCGCCCTTGGAGCTACCACGGTGACTGAGGGGGCACGAAACTGGCAGGGCCCTCTGGGGCAGCGACAAGTTAGAGGGGCACCGAGGGAGGCAGCGGCCACTCCAGCCCTGGAGGCTGACGGCGCTGCAGGGCGGGACTGTGCCAGGGAGCATGGACTGGGGGAAGGACGGGGCCGCCCCCACGCCCGCGCAGCAGCCGTGAGCTGGGACCCACGAGGCCAGAGTGGGGGTGCACAAGGAGGTCCGTGGGGAGCTCCTCACCCCTTCCTGCGGGAGCGGTTCCCAAGGCTGAGGAAGCGCAGATGTCGGCCCAGCCCAGAACGCCCGCGAGTGGCTGAGTGCATGCATTTCAAAGTCTCAGGGTGCTGCCTGCAAGGTTGTGCTTGGATGACATCTACAGTTTGGGTCTTTGTTGGGAAACGGGGCTGTGTGCTGGGTCCCGGGCCGGGCGATGACTCTACATGGAGCAAAAATGTCCCCGTGGCGGTGGACAGACAGAACACCGGGGCCCCCCTGTCCACTGAGGGGCTGCAGTGGGCCAGGCAGCGAGCTGCCCGGGGCACAGGTCCTGTCCTGCGTGTGGGCATGAGACCGCCGCGACGGGGACCCCTGGCCCCGGGACAGGCAGCCGGTAGACTCCAGAGCTGAGACGCAGCCGCAGGAGCCCTGGCACGCACCCTCCACCAGGGGCTGAGCTGTGTCCACCCCAGGAAGGGTCTCCAGCAGGGCACCACGGATTCTAGTGTCATCCCTGGGCCATGCTAAATGACCAGAACCTGAAGCGCCCGGGCGCACATGCGCCCCTGGGCGTGCAGTGCGAGGCTGTCGGCGACGTCCTGGGGTGTCTCCTGCGTGTCACGCACACAGCCAAGTCCATCCGTGCTCCGTTGGGGGAGGAGAGCAGAGCGCAGGAAGTCCTGTGTCCGGACACCGCCTGCACACACGATCGTTAGTGTTTATCAGATGCAAGGAAGAAAGCAAGATTTTCAACCTCCGTCTGAAATTCCCAGGACGTGGCCACCGGCCCAGCCTCCTCCCCCACCCCCACTTTCCGTCTGCCGCCTGGGGGGGGGTGGCAGCAAGCCGGTGCACCCCAGTTCAGCCGGGGGCTCAGCACTCTCCCGCGGGGCACGCTGGCGCCGCGCCCGGCTCCTGCGGCACGGGTTTCCCCTTAGGGCTGGCGTTGCGGCCTTGGTGTGACGGCCTTGGTGTGACGCAGGTTCCAAACCAGTGTCGCGAGAAGCAGATGAGAGGGGGCCGCCCCGCCACATGCAGGCCGGGGCGAGCTGCTCTCCGCTGTCGGCTCAGGGTTGTTTTTTTTTCTTTCTTCTTCCTTTTTTCCTCTTAAGACAAACAGAGACACAGAGAGACTGCTCGTCCACTGGCTCACTCCCTGAAGGCGCCCAATGGCTGGGACTGCTAAGGCCCAAGCCTGAGGCCAGGAACTCAGTGCGGGTCCCCACGTGGGTGGCAGGGAGCCCCTACCTGGGCCATCGCTGCCTCCCAGGGTCTGCATTAGCAGGAAGCTGGAGTCGGGACCTCCAGATGCGCATTTTTTTTAAGGTTTATTTATTGAGAGAATTGCTAACCAAAGGAGACAGAGAGAGCGATCTTCCATCCGCTGGTTCACTTCCCAAATGGCCACAATGGCTGGAGATGAGCCAATCAGGAGCCAGGGGCCAGGCGCTTCCTCGGGGTCTCCCATGCGGGTGCAGGGGCCCAAGCACGCGGGCCATCTTCCACTGCCCTCCAAGGCCATGGAGAGCTCGATTGGAGGGAGAGCAGCCAGGACTTGAACCGGCGTCTGTCTGGGACGCCAGTGCTGCGGGCGGAGACGTGGAGGTGCAGCCTGCTAACCGGCTTCCTCACTTGCTAACTGCTGGCTGGTGCCCGCCCCACATCAGTGGTTCTTTGGGCTTCTCGTGAGACCCCCACCTGGATCACGAACTGGCCCCTCCAGAGACACTTCCCTTTTTTTGCTTTTTGGATTTTTTTTTAAAGATCTATGTATTTGAAAGGCAGACTGTACTTTTTAAATCTCCCCAGGAGGCCACCGTGTGCAGCAGGGATGAGCGGCGTGGCCAGAGCCAAGTGTCCCCATCTCCCTTCACGGAGCTCAGAGAGGTTGAGCCACCTGCCTCAAGGCACACAGCTGAGAGAGGCGGAACCTGAACTCCAGCGTGTGTGACTGCACAGTGGAAGCCACTGACACACACAGACCAGGCTCTGGGGCGAGCACACTCACTCTCCCATCACCACTTCCCAAGAGGGGCCGGGGCTATGCCCCACGGGTTAGGCTGCCGCCCCTGCAATGGCCATGAGTGTCCCGGCTGCTCCACTTCTGATCCCACTTCCTGTTAATGCACCGGGCTAAGGCAGTGGAGGACGGCCCACGTGTTTGGGTCCCTGCACCCACACGGGAGACCCCGCTGACGTTCCTGGCTCCTGGCCTTGGCCTGACCCAGCCTGGCTGCTCTGGCCATTTGGGGAGTGAACCAGCATGTGGAAGATTCTCTCTCTCTAACTCTCTCTCTCTCTCTCTCTCTCTCTCTAACTCTCTCTTTCTCTCTCTCTAACTCTTTCAATTATATGTAAAAGACTTCCCAGGAGAAGAGGGAAGAGCTGGGGTAGCACGGGCGCCTCCGCTGCCTGCCCCCTCTGTGGCTCTCTTGCTGAGGGCCTGCCCACCCCGCTCCCCAGCCTCCCGGCCCCCCGGCTCCCCATATGCCGGGCCCGGATCCCAGGCTTGGCATCGCCTCCCGCTGGGGTCAAGGTGAGTCCCCGGCCGGGCACCAGCTGCTCACCCGGCGTGTGGGCAGCAGCCCGGGTCTGCCAGCAGACAGAACAAAGTCTGAACCCCCTGCCCGCCTCAGGGCTGAGGCCTTGGACAGGACCCCCGAGTTGCTTCATCTGTAAACTAGAACTGTTGAAAGGACCTGCTGGCCTCGGGGCTGCTGGGAGAATCGATGAGGCAGCCTGGAACCGGCACGGGCTGCGGTAAACACTGGTGCTAGCGTCGTGTGCCAGCTGGGCCTGGCCTCTGTGCCAGCGTCCCGGCAGGGCGGGGTGGGGGGTCCCAGCTGCGGCCCCGCCATCCCCGAGACCCGGGTCTCACTTTCCACAGCCGTGGACTGGAGGGCGCGGCAGCGTGCCCTCCGCCCTGGGCTGGTTTGTGGCTTGGGGGCTTTGGGCACAAACTGCATGGCAAGCACCATTGCCAAGCACCCCTGGCCCCTTCAGGGGGTCCCCACAGCGGTATGGTGGCCACGGACAAGTTCTCGGACCCGGCTGTGGCGGGAGAGACACCACTTCATCCGTACACTGCGGTCACAGCCCTGGCTTCCAGCTCCAGCTCTTGCTGCTCATGCTGTGTGGCCGCAGGCCTGAGATCAGCCTCTCTGAGCTGCGGCTCTGTGGAAAGAACGCTGTGTTCACAGCGCCCGGCACCAGCAGGGCTGTGGGAGCCCCTGGCTGAGGCACGGGGCGGAGATGGATGAGGAGGGGCCAAGCGAAGCCCCTTGGCGTGGTTCTGGCTTTCTTAGGCAGCACGCGATGGTAGTTTTCGGATGGGAGCAGAGGGGGTTCTTGCCAACGGCAGGGAGGCCGGGGGCGGGGCCTGCATGCCGAGCATGTGAGGGTCTGGGTTTGAGCTCCTCGCCAGCGCAGCCCCGTCCCCCGGCCTACCCTGCAGCACCAGTGCACAGATGGGGAAACTGAGGCGTGGAAGGACAGCCCCTGTCCCAGGCCACACGGCTCAGCCACCTGCAGGTGCCATGGCCACCACGCCCTTGCCTGGCCCGATGGCCACACATGGGGCTCTCGGTGCTAAACCCGCGGGTTTCACAGTAGCCGACGCTCTCCTGCAGAGCCGCAGGGCTCAGGGGAGCCTGGGCAGAGCAGTGTCCAGTGGTGCCAACAGGGCGAGAAGGGAATGGAGCTTACTTTGGTAACGTACTTGAACTCTGTGTGCCGGTCTCCTCTGCACGTCGCCACGCAGTGCCATGGACGTGACCCACGACCGTTTTTCCCTGTGGCCTTGCGTCAACTCCTCAAGCCCTGGCGTGCCGCGTGCGTGTGAGGCTGGAGTGGCCCAAGGAGGGATGGGCCGCCCAGGTGGGTTTGCGTCTCCCAGCAGGAGAGAAACCAGCGCAGGGAGTTCACCCTGCACACGCGCGGCACCTGCGAGACACTCAGAGCACGGCCGACTGGGCGCCCCGGGAACCCAGAAGGCTGCGTCTCCAGCACTTGGGGTCACGGCCTGGAGGGGCACGTGGCAGGGCTGTGGAAATCCAGCACCCCGAGTCGGCCTGCGCAGGCGGCCTGTGCTCCCCCTCTCGCGGCCCCCTCCTCCTGCCTCCCGTCTGGTGTCCTCTTAGTGTTCTCTAAGCGGGGCTTCCTGGAGGCAGCTCGGGCTCCGGTCCCCATCATCACCCATCAGATAAACACAGGGAAGAAAGTCCACGGGCGCCCCCACCCCCATTCTCCTTACCAGAAGCCAGGTAAGGGGTCAGGACCACAGCCCTCCTCCTCCGGGGCTCCCCGCTCTGGACACCCCCACCCCACCCCCGTCCCCAGGTCTCGCCAAGCCTCAGCCTCACCTTCAGTGAGCTCAGTGGCTAATGGTCGGGAGTCTAATCCTGGGCGCATGTCTCTCTGCCTCAGTTTACACTGCAAAACCCTAGGACGTCGTAGCCCAGGAGCCAAGGGGTGGGGAAGTGGAGACGAGGGGGGGCTCGGGGTAGAGGCCTCCCGCCGCTGCACTCCCCCAGCGTTCGAGACCCTAACCCACCCAGGTCCTGGTGTGATGGGGGTGTCGATGACGGCCAAGGCCAGACAGAGGTACAGATGGGGAGAGCCCTGCCTGGGTCACACAGCACACCTGCCACGGGCCAGCCAAGGAGCTTCCCACTGCCCGTCCACGTGTGCCCCCCATGCCACTGCCACCCGGGCCCCAGGAGGAAAGGAGTGCGCGTGCCCATTTCCCACTCGGTGAAACTGAGGCTCTGAGAAGCCCAGTGCAAAACGAAAATGCAGGGCTCTTTGTAAGAATGACTAAGACTTTTCACACGAGGACGGCAAAGCGTTCAGCCAGGCTCCAGGCCCTTCTGAGCACAGGGACCTGGGCACAGGTGGCAGTGCCTGAGCCCCAGGAGAAGCAGGGGTGTAGACAGGGGCCCGGCTCAGCCTGGCTCAGCTCCGTCGGCCTAGACCCAACAGTGCCGGGCAGCTTCCCTGCACCAAGTGGCCAACCCAGCTCACCCCAGCTCCTCCTCCTGTCTCCTTACCCCTGGGGGCTCTCACCCCCAGCCCCCAGCCCCTTCCTCTGCACCAGCAGCCTGTGCACACGGTAACGTGTCCCTGTGCGTGCACACACACGCAGCAGCTTCTCTCTCCTGTCCCTCCCTCCCTCCCCAGCTGTCTGCAGGTCCCTGCTGGTCCCAGGTTGTTGTGACCAGGGCCCAGTGTCCCCATACCTGCCCCACCCTCCTGGACACCACCCGCTGCGGGAGGGCGCCCCCAACCCGGGCAGGGCCAGGACCGGGGTGAAGAGACGAGGACGACGCCCAGGGCACAGCGAAGCCACTGCAAGGCCTTCGGTAACGACACGGGACGTGTTCGCGCAGCGAGCTGTGAAATCAGAATTCAGGGGAAAGTGCAGAACGAGGCACACAGCTTCACCCCCCAGAGCCGGGCTCCGTGGTCCCCAAGCCGCCTCCTCTCTGAGACGGCTCAGCCGGTCACCGCTTCGGGCCTTGTGTCTCTCCTGGGAGTTGCTGTTTTTTGCACGGATTTTGATTGAAAAAGAAATGATATCAAATATCGTCTCTTGACAGCGGAGCGCTGTGGGTGCCCCCTTGAAGTCTCTACCCAACGTGAGGCGCCTGACGGCCGCGCCCCGGTCCCCGTGCAGGCGGCCGGGAGCGCGGTGAGGGCCGCAGCCTGGAGGGTGCTCCTCCCGTGCTCCCTGGGCTCAGCACACACTGAGCGCCCACTCCAGACGCTGCTCTCCCGGGCCTGGGGAGGGGGCAGAGAGTCGCTGAGAATGGTGGAGGGGGCGGAGAGAAGCCACAGGGACTGGCTGGACCCAGGCCAGACGGCCAAGATGACGCTGGTCCGCCCTTGCCCCTGCGCCACCAGGGGGCGCTGTTACTCAGCCCCATTTCTCAGATGGAGAAACTGAGGCAAGAGTCCTAAGGCGCTGCCCCAGCAACCCTCGCTCCCCCCCTCCCCCGGCACCCTCCTCGCAGGAAGCGCCAGCGCTGGCTCCCCGGCCAGGATGGCTGGTGCCAGAGGCGAGTCCCTGGCTGGGTGCCAAGTGGGATCCAGGTGCAAGGAGGCAGCAGGGATGGTCCTTTGTCTTAAAGGGCCCCTCTCCGCACATGGCCAAAGCCCACGCCGCCTCCCTAGGGAAGGGCCAGGTGGACTCCCTCGGGGTCGCCCTCAGCGGCAACCGAGCCGCAGTGACTGAGTTCCGGGGGACCTGGCGGGTGGGGCTGCCTGGGGGAGGGCCACCCACTGCCCCGCGGCAGGCCACCAGGCAGGGGCCCTTTAAGGCTGGCCCTGGAGCAAGTTCACGCACCCCAGGCCCCTGCTGACTCACGCTTATGAAAGTGATTTTCCTGGCCCCGCCCACCTCCCTCCCGTGAAATACCCTTGTTTCCCGCCAGCCACAGGCTCTCGGATTCCCACGGGGACAGTGTCAGGTGCGCCGACTCTGGCCTCTGCAGTGCCCGTCCCTCTACCCACCGCCCCGCAGGTGAGTGGGCTGGGCAAGGCTGTGGGGCGGGAGAGAGTGGCCAGCCTGGCCTGGCCCGAGGGTCTGGGGGGGCCCTGGAGCCACCCGGGCTTCTCGGGCTCCCCTGAGCACCCCCTACCCCACGACTCACCCCCAGTGCAGGTTCTTCCGCGTCCCTCCCGGCCATGCCCGGTCCAGGTCCCTGGCCTGCCCACGTCCCACAGCTGCCGGGTGCAGCCGCCCGGCACAGCCCGGCGCATAGCTCTGGGCAGGAGAGGGGGTGTGGCCAGCTGGGCTTGCTGCCCAGGGTCCCAAGGCCACTGGGCCAGCGGCCAGGCTGGGTGCTCCCTCCAGAGTCCCCGCCTCTCCTGCCCGGGTGAGGCAGAGGCTGGTGGGTGCCGGCCGGGAGGCCAGTGGGCTGGTGACTTCTCCTCACCCTCGGCCGCCGAGGGCCTCATGCACTGTCTTGGTGTCACTGTCACCTTTGTTGTTTTACCTGGGGGGGGGGGGGGGGGGCAAGGTGCTGCCTCCTTCTGGCCTGATTCTCTCTCTCTGCGATGGGGATAGGAGAGCCCAGCTGTCAGTGAGCGAAGCCCCCGCCCCCCGTGGCGCCCAGTGCACACAGCACCCCGGCGCAGCAGAGGGCCTCGGGCTCACCCCTGGCAGGTCTGTGATGTGCTTTCCTGAGCTCCGAATCGTTAGCTGTCACCATTAACTTCTCCTAACCAACGTCCGCCGTCTTCCGCCCAAGGGACTTTGAACACTGACGGTGACAAGCGTCCATTCTGGCTCCTCAAGTCCAAAGAGCGTGCCAGGACCGGGCTGGCCAGGGCACCTGGGGTGTCCCCTGATGCAGGAAGTGACCTCGTGTAGCATCTCGAAGCTTCTAATCAAGCGCCCGACGGTTCTGGGCTGGAACCCTGGGCCTGCCCTTCCCCGCAGGGCCGTCCGTTCAGACTCCTCATGGGCACGGGGGCTCCCGCGTCACTGGGTGGTGCACTGGGACATGAGACGCAGGTTGGCATACTCGGTCGGGGGTCCAGGGGTGTCCGGGTGGGCTCTCCCACTGGCCCTGTGACCTTGCGGGCAGGGCTTCATGCGGCCGCAGCGCTCGTCTGGAGAGTGGGGGTTGTGAGGACTAAGCCCATGTTGCCCAGGACCGCATGTGGAGCTGCCCCCGGTCCCCGGAGCCCGCCCGAGGGGGCAGGAGCAGGGGCGGAAGACGCTCCGCCCTGACCCGCGGCCTCCTCCCAGGCACCCCAGCACCCGCCGGTCCAGGAGCAACCGTGCCGGAACTCCGGGGCTGGCAGCTGCTCCCCGGCCTCCCTGCTGGCCCACAGCGCCGGGCCCACGTCTGGTGCTGTGTCTTTAGCCAGGCGAGGGGGTCCTGCGGCAGGAGCCATCAACAGCAGGCTTAGAGGCACGGAGAGGGCTCTGGAAATGGGGCAAACTCTTCGGAAGACGTAAAGGGCCGTGAGAAGCAATCAGTGCCCCCATCTGCGATGTGGTTGTGACTGTCAGAATTCTCCAGACCCGCGGGGGGAGGAAGGGTTGCCAGTGCGTGGGCACCTAGCTCTGGAACTCTGGGTGCTGTGCTGCCGCTGCCGCTTCCACAATTGTCGTTAGCGGTGGCTCCGCAGGCAGATAGCCGGGGGCCAGGAGGGAACCTGCCGGGGAGGCTGTGAGGTCCTCGGAAGTGGAGCAGCCGGGGCTCGAACCGGCGCCCATACGGGAGCCGGCACTGCAGGCTGGGGCTTTACCCGCCGCGCCACAGCGCCGGCCCCAAGTTTATTTGTTTGAAAGCAGAGTTAGAAGGAGTGACAGAGAGAGGTCTTCCACCCACTGGCTCACTCCCCAGATGGCTGCAACAGCCAGGGTTGGGCCAGGAGCCTCTTCCGGGTCTCCCACGCGGGTGCAGGGCCCAGGAACTTGGGCCATCCTCCACTGCTTTCCCAGGCCACAGCAGGGAGCTGGATCGGAAGCCCACGCGGGATGCAGGCACTGCAGGCTGCGGCTCCACCCACTGAGCCACAGAGCCAACCCCTCGCCCACTTTCCAAACACAGACAAACCCAGGCCCTCTGGAGGAATTCTCCAGGCCGGGCCCCTGCCACTCCCACTGCCCCACACCCGCCACCAGCCCCGGGTCCCCTCTGGGCACAGGCCGAGTGTCGCGGGGGCCGGCTGACCCCACTCGCACCTCTGTGAAAGGGACAGGTGCGCGGGAGGCGGGTGGGCGCCTGCGGGGCCCCCGGCGGATTCGAGCCTGTGACCACCAGGGGCGCCAGCGCGCCGCCGCCGCGCCGGGCCGGGCCTTGTTCCCACTCTGACCAGGTCAGGGGCCGCAGCAGGCAGGAAGCTCGGGCCTCTCCCAGCGCGAAGGCGGCTGCCCACGC